ACAGGCACTTACACCAACAATTTTCATATTTTCTTTCTTTTGTCTGATAGGTGAGATCGCCACCAATAATATAAAACAATTTTCACAACGATACCACCAACCATTCCGGAGATATTGCAGAACAGGCACTCACACCAACAATTTTCAAATTTTCTTTCTTTTGTCTGATAGGTGAGATCGCCACCAATAATATAAAACAATTTTCACAACGATACCACCAACCATTCCGGAGATATTGCAGAACAGGCACTCACACCAACAATTTTCAAATTTTCTTTCTTTTGTCTGATAGGTGAGATCGCCACCAATAATATAAAACAATTTTCACAACGATACCACCAACCATTCCGGAGATATTGCAGAACAGGCACTCACACCAACAATTTTCAAATTTTCTTTCTTTTGTCTGATAGGTGAGATCGCCACCAATAATATAAAACAATTTTCACAACGATACCACCAACCATTCCGGAGATATTGCAGAACAGGCACTCACACCAACAATTTTCATATTTTCTTTCTTTTGTCTGATAGGTGAGATCGCCACCAATAATATAAAACAATTTTCACAACGATACCACCAACCATTCCGGAGATATTGCAGAACAGGCACTTACACCAACAATTTTCATATTTTCTTTCTTTTGTCTGATAGGTGAGATCGCCACCAATAATATAAAACAATTTTCACAACGATACCACCAACCATTCCGGAGATATTGCAGAACAGGCACTCACACCAACAATTTTCAAATTTTCTTTCTTTTGTCTGATAGGTGAGATCGCCACCAATAATATAAAACAATTTTCACAACGATACCACCAACCATTCCGGAGATATTGCAGAACAGGCACTTACACCAACAATTTTCAAATTTTCTTTCTTTTGTCTGATAGGTGAGATCGCCACCAATAATATAAAACAATTTTCACAACGATACCACCAACCATTCCGGAGATATTGCAGAACAGGCACTCACACCAACAATTTTCATATTTTCTTTCTTTTGTCTGATAGGTGAGATCGCCACCAATAATATAAAACAATTTTCACAACGATACCACCAACCATTCCGGAGATATTGCAGAACAGGCACTCACACCAACAATTTTCAAATTTTCTTTCTTTTGTCTGATAGGTGAGATCGCCACCAATAATATAAAACAATTTTCACAACGATACCACCAACCATTCCGGAGATATTGCAGAACAGGCACTTACACCAACAATTTTCAAATTTTCTTTCTTTTGTCTGATAGGTGAGATCGCCACCAATAATATAAAACAATTTTCACAACGATACCACCAACCATTCCGGAGATATTGCAGAACAGGCACTTACACCAACAATTTTCAAATTTTCTTTCTTTTGTCTGATAGGTGAGATCGCCACCAATAATATAAAACAATTTTCACAACGATACCACCAACCATTCCGGAGATATTGCAGAACAGGCACTCACACCAACAATTTTCATATTTTCTTTCTTTTGTCTGATAGGTGAGATCGCCACCAATAATATAAAACAATTTTCACAACGATACCACCAACCATTCCGGAGATATTGCAGAACAGGCACATACACCAACAATTTTCAAATTTTCTTTCTTTTGTCTGATAGGTGAGATCGCCACCAATAATATAAAACAATTTTCACAACGATACCACCAACCATTCCGGAGATATTGCAGAACAGGCACTTACACCAACAATTTTCAAATTTTCTTTCTTTTGTCTGATAGGTGAGATCGCCACCAATAATATAAAACAATTTTCACAACGATACCACCAACCATTCCGGAGATATTGCAGAACAGGCACTCACACCAACAATTTTCAAATTTTCTTTCTTTTGTCTGATAGGTGAGATCGCCACCAATAATATAAAACAATTTTCACAACGATACCACCAACCATTCCGGAGATATTGCAGAACAGGCACTCACACCAACAATTTTCAAATTTTCTTTCTTTTGTCTGATAGGTGAGATCGCCACCAATAATATAAAACAATTTTCACAACGATACCACCAACCATTCCGGAGATATTGCAGAACAGGCACTCACACCAACAATTTTCAAATTTTCTTTCTTTTGTCTGATAGGTGAGATCGCCACCAATAATATAAAACAATTTTCACAACGATACCACCAACCATTCCGGAGATATTGCAGAACAGGCACTCACACCAACAATTTTCATATTTTCTTTCTTTTGTCTGATAGGTGAGATCGCCACCAATAATATAAAACAATTTTCACAACGATACCACCAACCATTCCGGAGATATTGCAGAACAGGCACTCACACCAACAATTTTCAAATTTTCTTTCTTTTGTCTGATAGGTGAGATCGCCACCAATAATATAAAACAATTTTCACAACGATACCACCAACCATTCCGGAGATATTGCAGAACAGGCACTTACACCAACAATTTTCAAATTTTCTTTCTTTTGTCTGATAGGTGAGATCGCCACCAATAATATAAAACAATTTTCACAACGATACCACCAACCATTCCGGAGATATTGCAGAACAGGCACTTACACCAACAATTTTCATATTTTCTTTCTTTTGTCTGATAGGTGAGATCGCCACCAATAATATAAAACAATTTTCACAACGATACCACCAACCATTCCGGAGATATTGCAGAACAGGCACTTACACCAACAATTTTCAAATTTTCTTTCTTTTGTCTGATAGGTGAGATCGCCACCAATAATATAAAACAATTTTCACAACGATACCACCAACCATTCCGGAGATATTGCAGAACAGGCACTCACACCAACAATTTCATATTTTCTTTCTTTTGTCTGATAGGTGAGATCGCCACCAATAATATAAAACAATTTTCACAACGATACCACCAACCATTCCGGAGATATTGCAGAACAGGCACTCACACCAACAATTTTCAAATTTTCTTTCTTTTGTCTGATAGGTGAGATCGCCACCAATAATATAAAACAATTTTCACAACGATACCACCAACCATTCCGGAGATATTGCAGAACAGGCACTTACACCAACAATTTTCAAATTTTCTTTCTTTGTTCATTGCGTTGCCCAACTGGTGAAATATTTCTTTTTCGATTAATATTAGTTGGTTTTCTTGCGCTTATCCCACACGCACTTCTTATATTTACTTGATGCAATGTGGGAAATGCTTTGAAATGCAACCACGTCGTTCGTAACTTGCAGACATTTAGATCGAACATTTTTTCTTGGTTAATATTAGTCTAATAATCTGTGGTTCAAATTCTAGTTTGCAGCGGTTTCAGTACACAACCGACATGCTGATTACACATTCCCAGGAAGCAGGTGAGTCTGTTGCGATTTCGGTTATTAATGCTAATTCTAATGAGTGCATTCTAGATAATACAGTCTTTTTCCAATACACTGTCGGACAGACAGAGGATGAACTTAAGAAGACGTACAACCAATTACAGACACTTATACTCCTGTTTAAGCTGTGGCGGATGTGGTATTTGAATGAACTAATGATTCCTTTGTACTTGTTGAATGCTTGAATTCGAATTCCAAATACAATAGATTCGTCCGTGCTTATCTGGTACTTCTTGACCCAATTGCGTTATTTCTGGGATTCTTAGTTCATACTATATTTCAAATACTTATAAATAACACATATATGTATCCCGATCTCTACCTCTTTACATCCCACAGAAATGAATGAGTTATTGTCTCGTATCGAATGATGGTCTATTGTTACTGGTCTCATACTTAATCCATCTAAATATCAAGCTGTCAAATATAGCTTGAGACATGGACAGCATCTAAACACCATTTTGAGATCCAGTCAGGCTTATGCCATTGAAGACTCTTTGATAAGCACAGTGTCGAAAGTCAGTTATCTTGTTGTTACTTTCCCCTGATCTCTCTTGGTCTTCTCATGTTTTACTGCTATCGAAGGGAGTTTTCCGTCTGACTTACTACACAAAAAGGCTGCATGCTTTTGGGATTGCTTGACACTTACTATTACAATTTTTCAATTCCTGCGTCTAACCTAATGTTCTTTACCGTTCTCCACTATTCTTTCACGAGATTTTGAGAAAAGACTTTGCTGTATTGCGGAGAGTGCTGAAGACAGTTTTCAAGGTGTGTGGTGAATCTTTCGAGGTCTTTATTAATATGGTTATGGATAGACATATAAAGTCTTTCAAACTCCCAGCAGGTGTTAACAGATACCAACTATCCCCTTCACTCATATCTTTCTTCCTGCATAGCTTCTGGTAGAAAGAGACGTAAATGCATTAAGATCCATGCACGCAAGCAAAGGTATAAAAGTTCTATAATGCCTAACCTAGCAAATATATTCCGTGACGAACAGGTTATTAGAGTTAACCTAGTCAATAACCTGTATGTTTAAACATGACTCGAATTTGAAAAGTTGTACAGATTCAGATCTTTTTTTCACCTTTTGTCCCTTCTTTTCTGTTTTTGTGGGAGAAACCTGTTGAAATACCTCTTTCTGTGAATTCTATAATGTACCAAAATATAATATTGAATAAAGCCATTAATAATAATAAATGTTCCTATTTAACATCTTGTTAATATTCTCCCTAACAGTAGGGTATATTTATTTTAGCAGATTGTCATTTAATAATTGAATAATTATGACTTAGAAACAGATATTTAGTACTCCCAGCCTGGAGTTAACTCAACGGCGTTTAAGGTTTAAGTAAATGCAGATATCAAAAGGATGAAGGGTCGGCGGAAAGGATTGTCCAGGACGGAGTTGGATAAAGAATGCTGGTAAGCGGCCTATGCTCATCCACGAAGGCTAATAGGCATACGTATATATATATATATATATATATATATATTGTAGACATGAAGTTACAAATCAATGTTTAGCCATAATGTGTTAGATAATAAATAACATTGTTTATTTAGGCTATGCTATTATAGTTGAAAATTAATTATAAGCATTTGCCTGACTGCTTGTTTTTATTTCATGCTTCCCGTGAAATTCTAGCGGAATCCTGTATGCAAAATCCCAGTGATATAGTTTTGTCCACTGCAACACCGAATGCAGATATTCAATCCTATCCTCATAAATCCATTCAGCATACTTCAATCAATAATATCGGTTCCATAAAAGCTAGTGGTTGTCAGATGTGCTCATCAATCAGTTGTAACAATGATCAAAATACCGCAGAATTGTCAGCGAATTGTAGTGAAAACTTTACTTCAAGAAGTTCTGTTAATCGATCTACAGCTTTGTCAGACGACATGAGTAAGTTCTAATAAATGTTCTTACTTAAAATTTTCTTGTTAATATTCTCCTAAATTGTACGGCATATTCCATTTAGCATATTGTCATTTATTAATCGAATAATTATGACATAGATACAGATATTAAATACCTCTAGTTGAAAGTCGAGTGTTTCATTGTTTAGGTTCAAGTAAATATTTTGAGTGGATTATCTTTACACATATCTATGAAGTTGAGCAACATGTTAAAGTATATGATGGAAATCGTTTGTGCACATCACAACATCACGCGAAAAAAGACAACCGAATAGCCTTACTTTTGAGAACTTCCATAAGTGTTTTCGACAATGAAAAAAGGGTAAATGGACTGCCACAGATAGGCAGTATTTGGGAACAGATAAGTTTAAATAAAACCTGAATTAAATGATAAGAACTAATTTACAGTATTTGCATTTAATTCCAAGACCTAAAACCTTTGGTATTAGTTATGAACTGAACTACATCGACTTTTAGAATAACATTAACATAATAAAATAAGACGATACTCGTGTATCCTTGATGTTATTTCATCACTGAAACAAACATCCAACCAAATAGTCAATTGAGATGGTATTTAAATTACTTTAAAAAGGTACTCCCGATTTTCTGCTTTGCAGAATGTTCATATTTCCATGGGTTGCTGTGAAATGATTATGTATATATATACAGCCAACTTAATTTCAAGTTTTATTTATTTCGATGTTTTAGCGGACCATGAAGTCACTACCAATATATGCTTAGATGCTTCTGGAAATCAATGCAAACCGTGATCAAGTGGTGACTCATTGAATGCATCAACAAATACAACTAATAGTAGTAATGAAATTAATAATTACAATAAAGCTTTCTGCATAAAGCAACCAGATCATATGCCTAGTTCATCATTTACATGTACAGCATTGTCATCAACTGTAACAGTTTAGAGTTGACGGCGTTAGAGAATATATTCGAACCCCTTTTCGGCTACATTTTACTGTTTCTTGTTCTACATGTAACGCTCCAATTTTTATATGCACTACTTCATTTAAGATTCCGATTTCTTGATAACTTCTTTTTCTACTATTTGTTAAGCGAGTGTACTTCAATTTGTCGTAACACTTTCTTGTGGTCTGTTGGTAGTTTGTTTGTACGTCAGTAGATCCATGTAAGTCTGAATAATTTGTACTGCTACTGCTACCTTGAAAAATAATGTAAGTTCAAAAATAATATTTCTCATCATTCATGTTACTGTATGTAGTTAGGTATATACTGTTGCTCTTCATTATTGTCATATTATCTTTTGTTTCCCTTGATGAACCTGTACTCATGTTTACAGTATATTTTCCTGATTTACTTCCCCACCCATTTACATTACATTTGTATTTTCATCCTGTGCACGACGGACGTTTTCCAACTAAATGTTTCTGTCTTCTACTGTACTGATAAAACTATGGTTGAAATGCTGTTAATAACATGTATGAAATATAAATTATGTTACACTTGTCTAGAATTTGTTACGCCATCTTTAAAAACAAATCTGATCAGTGCTTCGATAAAGATAGAATTAAATACAGTTCAACTGACATGCGAATTCCTATCTATTACGCGAGACGTGATTCTAAAACAATAAGCTCCAACCTGAGTTACCAAGTTTAATCGAATGTTTACAACTAACTAGCTAATGTTAACTAGGGTAAGGAACAAGAGGCATCGGCGACAGAGTTTAAAATTCCAGGTGGTCTGTGTAAAACTGCTTTAAAATCCAATAAGCAGGTGAACTAAATGTTGAAAACGAGGTCAAGAATATTCACTTATTATTAATTGCGACGCTGTATGCTAACACACATCACTTATTCACGAACAAACCATGGGATTTTTCGTATTGAATCAGTAATAGCAAGACTACCAACGATGATAACTACAAAATGGTTAACACCTCCTGGAATAATCAACTTCGAGAATAGTACACCGACCTCAAACCTAGAGCATTCAGATCATACTTCATATGAATCCTCTGAATGGACTTCTCTTTATCGATCCTTATACCATAAAGATATTCGTAGATCAACCTTAGATATTTTCTGGCTTATTGCCGTGGAGATTGAGTTATGAAACCTAGACCAAACACATGCGTATCTTGACAATATACATACCATTCGATCAGACCCAAGAAACGAATTCCCATGTAATCTTTTGTTATGACATCCTAGGGCAACATAAATGCGATTTGTTGATTTCCATGAGTGTTCATGAACACCTTGACTGGTAAGAGGTACCCAGCTTCTAAACGTAAGCTGACAGGATTGCCATCTTCTGGTTAACTTCCAAAGCTAAAACTCGCTTTCTGGGAAGCCAATGCAATGTGACTGCGGGAAATCTGTCCAATCAAATGGACAGTTTCAGAAGACTTGTTGCTTGTGCAGCCTAGCCTTCTTCGTAAGAACTGTAGCTACTACGGCTCATCTTTCTTTATCCGAATACATTTCTAGCTTTGGACAACCCTGTAACAAGTAGCAGAGACTCAGTGCACACAGCAAAACTAACTCTGTACATTACCTCGAAAAATCGACTATCAACTTTTCAGCAGCATTTGTCCATAGAACATGAATCGTTCGTTGCGCACAGACAGCAGATATTTTGATCGGCGATCAGTGCAGTCCACTGCCAGACGTTTTATTATTGGTACTGACCCAAAGATACCATTATATAAACATCATATAAAGTCATCAGTTAGTAGTAAGACAATTCAACCTTCAATTTATTTGGGAAATAGCCAATCACTCAGTCTACAGGGATAAAATGGTGATCAAACAGCAGTCTATTCATGGATCCAAGGGTCAACGGCTTGTTTATATTGACATAGTTCTTGTGGAGTAAACCATAAGTTGATTTCCCTGTTAGCACTTTCAGTTGAGTCTGATCCATGGACAACATTTCTTCCTACATCTTGGCAGTAGTCTCCCCTTATTGATCCAGGACAACTTGCTTCAGGTTTAGTAGCACCTAACATTGTACGTCCGTTCTCAATAGCCTAAAGTAAAAAAACATAGTGGAAAATGCATGTGCAGTAATACGCAACGAAGAAATTACAAGTGTTAAAGGTTAGAAACTTTCTCCATTGAATCAAAACATAGTAAATATGATCGACAGTGAGGGGATATTAGGCAAACACTGAAATAACTGTGGGACTTGTTCACATAGAGTGAGGTTTAATGAGTTACAGTTGAGTCATACTTCTGATACTGTTTGCTTGATGTAGCAGTCCTGATGACGAAACTTTTAGGATTAACGGTTTAGTGATCTTCTTACATTGAAGTTAAGAACGGCTTCTATATCTAGCTTTCATTCTGCTGGTATAAATCGCCTTAGATGTATCACTACAAAGTTGTTACATGAGAAACGAACAGAAAAAGAAGGACGGTTGGTGCTAACATGAAACTTAAACTTGATTTTAACGGCCTGTCGCAGCCGTTGAGTTGTATAAAAAGCACTTCGGCTTATTACGGTATCGCATTGGGCATATATGTTCAGTTGAAATTCGTAGTGAAGACTGGGAAACTGAAGGAGCGGAAAGTGGCAACATTTGCAAGTTTTTATCATATGAACCACTGATTCACCTCAACGTTTTTTAATAGTCTATATGCACGCTCATAGACCCAACTCATATGTATGGACAGATGTAACAGTAACAGTACGCATCATCATTAAAAATAAGACTTCTATGATAATCAAAAGTTTATTCCTTCGGATTCGATTTTATAAATATGTTTTACTTCGCTGCACAACAATCTGGGTGATCTACGTTTTGAGACCATTTACACGGATCCGGGTCCTGAGCAGTCTGATCTCAGAAGGATATTTATCGTGCGAATTTCATCCCTGCGTAATGAAATATATTTTGCCTCAAAAGAAAACTAAGGACACCTCTAGTTGAAACAAAGCATACTAGGAAATTTTCGTACATGTCAAGGCTTTTGTTTGAGTTGGCAAAACTTTCCAGTTCATATACAGATGATCAAATTACAAAGCCTGAATCGTGTTGTGAGCCTTCAAACTAAATTGAGGAGTGAGAACAAGAAAAAATATGGACATGTTTTTGCCTTTTCGTCGTATTCGCCTACGCAACCATTGACTACAATTCTAAAAGGATGCATAAAATAAAGCTTCCTACCCTATTACAAAAAGCTAAACGTTTGGCTGCAGCTATTGTAGTAAGAGACTTCAGCGATCAAGTTGGTAGTTTGAACCAGAGCGATAGACAATCAGGTGCGTATTAGTGTTCAAGTTACATGAACAGACAATGGCAACTAGCAGTCTTAATTATGCTAAGACAGCTACTTGTACACAGCAAGCACCAACTTCAAGTATAGGGACAGTGTTTGAAAGGGCAACCCCCACAACCGACAAATTGATCTTATACCCATCAGCGATCACTCAAGGGACCCGACATAAGACCTTCGGTTATTTCGGAGGACATGTCTATACTGAACACCATCTAACATGATGACGCCGAAGTGATGCCAACTCAGATGCGGGTCGACATTATTTACAGTCATGATATCGACGAGTGATTAGAATAAAATTGTTAAGGCTCTATTGAACTGACAGATACTCAGAAAGCCACTACGTAAGGCTACAAACACAATAAGGTAACCAAGTGGTGGCAGCTCGAACTGATGTACGTACGTACGAAGTTCTACGTTGTTACTGACTGACTGACCGACGACCACTCATTGTTTCAGCATATAACAGGACGAAAATCCTTTTATGGTAACTACAGAAGAGTCAGTCTGACATAGATTTTAAAACTTGACAATCACCCAAGGCTTTACTAGGTCTCATGAAGAGCAAACCTGGGAAAACCGGGCTGGTCTCAGACCTGGTGTGGGTAAAATATTCGCAATTTGCCACGTCCACATACAGACATACCTATGGACTCACAACCACGGTCGTACTTATCAGCCTTAAAGATCCATTTTATTTTGTTGATCATAAAATCTTGTGCAGTATCTCTAAAAGCATAACAAACAGTAAAGTTAGGATTTTACGGGCTCTACTCGAACAATACTAATGGAGTCAGAGCTCATGGAGGGCTGTCATTTGAAGTGTTCATCGAAACTGTCCGCTTTCTTAATTTTAATTCAACTGTCATAGACATACTCTACGAATTCCTATGACCTTGGGGAAAACCCTAAAATCCGGATCATTTGCAAATTGGAGACATCTGGGGAGATGAGAAATATAACGTTTTTGCAAAAGGTATCGCCTTGAGTTTTTACTTACTTACCTTACGCCCTTCGAATACCATTGGTACAACAGGTCCAGATGACATATACGCAACTAGTTTTGGAAAGAATGGTAAAGATTTGAGTGCCTCGTAATGAATCTGAAGAAGCTGTTCTGAGGCATGCATCATCTTAATTGCAACAAGCTTATAGCCTCGCTTTTCAAATCGTTGTATAATCTCCCCAACAAGACCTCGTTGGACTCCATCAGGTTTGACCATTATGAACGTCCGTTCCATGATATGACGACTACCTCAAGTGAATTCGCGCCCAACTGATGAACAATAAAAGTGTATTCGAACAATATCTCGACAATCGTTTATAGACACATGTACATTTTTTATTATGACTGTAATAGTTCTTCGCGTCTCGGTTCCATACAATAAAACTGTTTTGACGTTCGTGTTGAAATTTCTGACTTTGATGTTAGTTGACAATTGTTGATGGGAAATGGATGACTCTGAAACGCAGAACAGTAGGAAATATAGCCAAAAATAATGCCCGTTTACTTGGTAAATCCTTGCTGGACTCAATGACTACTCCGCCAAAGGCCCGAAGCAAAGCCTCGTCAAGCACTATTGTGAATCGCTCGCTCAACTCCCATGACTTTGTTACAATGAAAACTAATTGTAAGATGCAGGATCTAACATAACGATCGAAAGCCGTGAACACGATTTCTAAAGAAGTTAAGTCTCTTCCTAGTTTAATTATTTGGACCATAGAATAGTCGAAAGACAATGACCCTGCTAAAATACATGCACACGATCTGCAATTAGTGGAATCTGTGATAAGAAATGTAGTACCTGAAGAGGTTTCAGGGGTACATATCACGAACGTAGTACGACTCGGTAAATTGGTTGGAGGCGAGGTCCAGTCAAGAAGGATTTTGAAGTTGGTTCTCGGGAATTTTGAAGAAAGAGGTAGAATATTGAATAACGCACAAAACCCGTGATTCAAATATTCGTATGCGACCAGATTGGACGCTTGAGGATCGAGTTAAGTGGAAGAATGCTCTTACGGAGTTAAGAACTAAAAAGTCAAATGGCGAAACTAACCTTACCATTAAGGGTTTTCGGGTAACCAGGTCTTGGAAGCCAATGCTTCCGAGGCCTGTAGGGGTAGAACGAATGATTCCCAAAAGTGTGTACTACACGGACGCCTGTAGTCTTGGAAACAAAATGTCCGAGCTAAGTCTGATGGTAGATGAACTAAGTCCCGATATAATTATTGTTACAGAAACTTGTTTCACCGTAGATATAGAATGTTCTCCCATCATTACAGGCTATATCTGTATTAGAAGTGATAGTTTTAAGTCCCAAGGGGGAGGCATAATTTTATACGTTAGTGATCACTTTCGTATATAATCAGTCACATCGGAGGAGCATGTTAGTGGTACATGTGAGGTAGCATGTTGTAAAATTAAATCTAGAAATCAGTTAGTGACTGTAGGAGGAATATACCGTGGCTCGTGTTGTCTCGCTGACGACTTGGTCTTAAAACGCATCTGTTCTCGGAGTATGGCAGAATGCTGTCTTCAACGCACCTCATATCAACTGAATAGAGCTTACAGCTCCAGGCGGTGATTCCGATAGCGACGTTTTATCAACCATTATTCAGTGTGCGCCTGTACAATGTATTGAGAAACCGACACATATTGACTTGAAACATGATTCGTCACTGCTGGACCTCGCCTTCACCCACCACTGTGAGGATGTCTTTGATATTCAGCACCTTCTCCCACTAGTGAACAGTGATCACGTTATAATTCACTTTAAGTTTAGGACACGTGGTATACAATTTGAATCAGTTCCACCCCGTCGCAATATCTGGCGAGTTAATATTCCGGCAATCAGAGACTGTGCTATCTCAAGTGATTGATCGGTCGACGTGGATCGATCGATCGAAGACTAATTGAATAAGTTTAGGACTACATTTGAGTCCGTAGCCTCACCGTTTATCCCATGGTCAGCACGTAAGTTATCACATCGCTCTCCATGGATTAATAAGGAAACCCGGAAGCCGTTAAAGCGTAGGAAACACTTCTGGGACTTATTCTTGTTGACAGTTCACGCATTATTTGAGCATCAGTACCGAAAATTCCGGAATATTTGTAAGAAAACCATAGCTAAATCCCCGACTACTTACGAACGACAGTTGGCATATGATAGTCGCACTTGTCCGAAACAACTGTTTTCGTATGTTAAATGGCGAATAAAACGTAGTGATGGTATTCCCCCGTTACTGTTACTCGAAAATTCAGATTTCCTAGCTGAATAAGATCGGGCAAAAGCTGAGGCTTTTTCAAACAATTATAGTGAAGTCTACTGCTAGGGTTGAGGCTATCACGACTTCACTTAATCTGCGAACGAGAAACAAGACTCGATGACCAAAGACCAGTAAGCTAGCTAGTTGATGCGTTCCAGCCCCGCAAACTAGAGGAAGAAGTCCAAGCTTGGATTGAGGAAATATATTCTGCAAACAGTCAGAAACGAGCGATAACAACAAACACAATTCAAAACGTATATATACAGTACAAAACCGCCCTCGGGGAGAGTTACCAAATAGCATACTAAAAGACGCAACTGGCCAATAGCATTTAAGATATTTCCTTGTGGGAAATACAACATGAAGGTGACAAGAGCGCTTTTGGCGCGAAAACAAAGAGATTAAAATTTTATAAATAAAATTACAAAAAAAGTCCTTTCTCAAGTGAATTCGTAGTATGGCGTCGAGTCGCGGCTGACTATGATCATCACTACAGGGAAAATACGTACCAGTTAACCGATAAGATCCCCCGTAAGCAAAATATCAGAAGACAGTTGATGGCTGTAGTCGAGATGTATTTGTTGGCGATCTTGTGGTATCGAAAGAATACCGAGATCATGCCAGATCACAAGTGTGGTTACTGAACGTAACCGAACTCGTGCAAGGTCGCAATCAATGGACGAATGTCTTTAGTGCAGTTAAACAAACAAGTACAGTAAACCAATCATTGGTACAATTGGTTATAATAATAATTGCTTTCATTAAACCAATCGCGTCCTCTTGATAAAAGTAGGTTACTACAAGTTCTGGGGATCTAACGTCCCCAACATCTACTCTACGTTTGTTGTAACAAATACTTGTCCCAATCACGCCGAGATACCAGCCATCGAATCTGTACAGGTGACTGAGGAAACTGTCCTTCCATTGGTAGCTAACCTCAAACCTTGTCAGATACCGAGTCCTGACGTGCTACATTCACGGCTGCTGACATCTCCTGCGGACATCATTTCGGTATCGCTCGCGACAGTTTTCAACGTGTCCTTTCCAGTGGACCAACTCCCTGTAAATTGAATAGACGCTATAGTCACTCCCATACTTAAGGATGGTCAGAGATAGGCCACATCTAACTGCCGGCCTGTCAGTCTAACCAGCAAAGTCGTCAAGTTGCTTGAAAAGATAATTCCAGTTAAGTTGCGAAGTCACACAGATTCACACAATCTGTTGGCTCCTGAGCAACGTGAGTTTCGTAACAAGCGTTCATGCTCGACTAACTTACTTATAGAGGGAGAGGATCGGACAGCAGCCTTAGATAACGATCTGCCTGTCGATGTGATATTCACAGATGTTAGCAAAACATTTGACAAAGTTTCACACTAACGTCTTATGCAGAAGCTCTCGATCTTCGGGACAATAGGTCCTGTAGAGGAGTGGATAGGAAACGTCTTATGTGATCGCAGACAGAGAATGAGGGTCAATGGAACGCTATCCGATTGGAAGCCAGTCAAAAGTGGTGTACCCCAAGGCACCATCATAGGTCCGCAACGTATGTCCTACCCACCACAAATTTCTTTCCATAATTTTCTCATAGCTAATCACGTGCGATTGAGTTTATTCTCATTTAACTCAGTTAAGCCGTTTTGCTAATTTATTTAGCGGACAAAGTCATCCACACTATAAAAATTTATTGTACCCTTATCATTATTGTGCTTGTATGAAATACGTATGCTTGAATATTGTTTACTGTCTACGCATTTATTCACTCTGCTAGTGTCACTACTAACCGCTTATTTGATTCGATTACTCATTCATTTCACTATATATATATATATATATATATATATATATATATATATATATATATATATGTCCATGTTATTCATATTGAACACACACCCTCGTCTCGTTCTTGCTCTGGCTCTCACTCGCTTGCTTGCCATTCGGCACAACTCTTCTATGCTTGTTTAGCGCATCTGTACGTTTGGATATATGTGTGTGGTCTCGAAATAAACGTAATCAACGCTTCGTATTCGCCTTCTGATTAATAGAACGGTTATCAAGACGAACTGTGCACAAAGTTTAAGGATTATATCGAATACCGACCACCACATAATTGGCGATCCTGTCGCGCGAGAGTATGATTTATGGGGAATTTTATAAATATTTTGAACATTCAAGATAGAAATGGGACAATTGTATTGTTAGACACAAGAAACATCTTGAAGGAGGTAAGGTTAGTGCATCCTGAATATTTTAAAATGAAATTTCATGACATACGTTCGCGTACTTATTTCCACCAACAAAAAAGTAATTATTAACCCCTAAATAAGACCTCGAATTGTCTTATAGGTATACATACAAAATTCCCTAAAAAATCACCCAATTTACTTACAATATTAAAAGATTTGTCAACCTCTGTAAGGCACCACAAAAGTCACTTAATCATTAGAACGGACACAAAATACTTTGGGACAAGTCAATCGCTCTCCAAGCTCCATTACTAAAATCTGTACCTTGATGCTGACTTTTGGGCAAAACACTGGAAAAATGCATGATACGTTTGCTTCGTAAAATCGAGTATCTCTTTGTATGTATCCCAAGTAGTATATATATCATAGAATGAGGCGAAAAGCAGTTTACGTCTGTCAGTATTTTGTTACCAACACTAGCGAATATAACCGACTAGATAACAGAGATAAATAAAAAGAACGCTTCTAGCAAAAGATCAACTCATTGCACACATTTGTACATCAGTTAACAATACTTGATCTTGATGACCATTGTATACCAGTAAAGGTTGCTAACTCTGATTAAACTCGAATAATTCAACACTTCGAAGGTGTAGTCGTGAACACAGGCAAATCCTTCTGCCAGTATTTAATGTATCGACAATAATTATCATAGAATAATAGTGTATGTATGTACATTCGAGCATTCAGAAATCCACACTTCACAAATTTTCCATTAGCTATTACGGATTCATTGGAATTTCGAATGGGTCGTTGTGTAGTGGTTCTAAAACCTGAATAATTTTGATATTTTATCTTTTGAATTGTTTTGGATTCATGTTTGCACTCTTTTAAGTACCAGTTATCATCTTTCCATCACTATTCTGCTTTTTTAGTGGGATACTTGCTCTGATATGCTCATCCTTGTACCCTTTAGATTTTCGTCCTGGCTGAGTTATTTTACTTCGCCACTTTCTTTTAAATAAGAAATTCATCTGTTGGATATAAACCTGCTAACAACTGGCATTTATGGTAGCATATCAGACCAGATAGATGAATGTATTAAAAAACTTAAACTCCGAATGACTCATGATATGGGAATACATATTTGAAAGATGTTTTCTGAATCAGTATGTACTACGAATGGTGCACACTAGATGCCATATAAACCGAAAATAAGGACTTACAGCAGAAGTTTCGAAATACGGAATGCTTAGATCATCCGCTAACCCTTGGGCTTTTTCCACATTGTTGATATGCTTCTCTTTCAGGTCTGTTTTATTGCCCACAAGAACGACTAAAAGCCAGGTATATGATAAGAAAGTACTCTTACCCGGTATACGTATATTATTAGGTTTCCGTAATTCTCTCAGGGTAA